CTTTGTCAGATTCTCAGCGCAGAACTCTAGAGAAAATGGTTGATAAATATTTCGGTTTGATGGGAGACAAATTAGGCTGCACCACTCTGGTAGAGCACGTCATCACCACAGACTCACCTCCAATCAAACAGAGACATTATCCCATTTCTCCAGTCTTACAACGACAGGTAAACGAAGAGCTGGATCAGATGCTGAAAGATGGTGTGGTGGAACCATCCAACTCTCCGTGGGCCTCTCCAATTTTACTGGTAAAGAAGCCAGATGGTCGATATCGCTTCTGTGTTGATTTCCGGAATCTCAACCAAGTAACTAGGAAGGATGCGTATCCCCTCCCCTTTGTCTCGGCCACGTTAGATAAATTGCGCGATGCACATTTTCTAACGACGTTAGACATCAAGTCGGCCTATTGGCAGATACCTCTTGCTGAACAGTCAAAACCCCTAACTGCATTTGTTATCCCTAATCGCGGACTGTTCCAATTTAAACGAATGCCAATGGGACTTCATAATGCACCGGCTACGTTCCAAAGATTTGTCGACAGAGTCGTTGGAGCAGAATTGGAACAATATGTCTTCATTTATTTGGATGATATTATCATCTGCACGTCTGATTTCCAAAAGCATTTAGAAATCTTGGAGGAAGTGTTGTCTAGGCTCACGAAAGCGGGACTAACCCTGAATTTGAAAAAATGCAATTTCTGTAAGTCGGAATTGCGCTACCTGGGATATTTGGTGAACTCGTCAGGACTTCTCGTTGACCCGGAGAAAGTCAACGCTATCCTGCAAATCCCCATCCCACAAAATGTCAAGGAGGTACGTCGCATCATCGGACTCGCCTCCTGGTACCGTCGGTTCGTTCCCGGATTCTCGACGATGATATCTCCCTTATGTGACCTCACCAAGAAAGGCCAACCATTTATTTGGAGTGACAACTGTGATAACGCTCTTCGACAAATCAAAGAGTGTCTTGTGTCAGCTCCTGTACTGTCGTGCCCGGACTACAGCCTACCATTTCAGGTCCAGACGGATGCATCTGATTATGGTTTAGGAGCCGTGCTTTCGCAGGTGCATCCGGGTGGAGAAAAGGTAGTCTTTTATCTTAGCCGCTCTCTCACACCGAGCGAACGTAAGTTTAGCACGACCGAGAAAGAGTGTCTTGCAGTCATTTTCGCAGTCGAGAAGCTGAGGCCTTACTTGGAGGGAACGCGATTCACCGTAATCACCGACCATTATAGCCTGAAATGGCTCAATCCGATCAAAGATCCAGTTGGTAGGATTGCGCGTTGGTCAGTGAGACTTCAGCAGTACGACTTCGACATTCAGCATCGTCCTGGTCGTAACCATTGTGTACCAGACACTCTTTCCCGTTCTGTGCCAGCCTTGACAATTGACTCGTTATGTACCGATGTTGCCAGCAAAGACCCTTGGTATCAACAGCTGATCCAAGCTGTCACCAGAGACCCGGTTCGCTATCCTGCATGGCGTGTACAGGGGAAATTATTGTTTAAGCGAGTGGATAGAAAGTATCCTGAATTGACTGATGAGGTAGATCCCTGGGTACAAGTTGTACCGAAAGAACGTCGCCGCGACCTCATTCGCCAACACCATGACCCACCAACGATGGGACATTGTGGTGTTTTCAAAACCCTTTCTCGACTCAGCAGTGTATACTACTGGCCGAAGATGAAGCAGGATGTAGCCCGCTTCATCAAACACTGTACGGTGTGTATTAGTACGAAGCCGGAGCAGAAGCCGCCAGCCGGCCATTTACTTAGTTCTGCACCTCAGGCTACCAGGCCATTTGAAATTCTCAGCATTGATTTGGTAGGTCCGTTACCTCGATCCGCATCTGGACATGCCTATATTTTCTCGGTTTCTGATATCTTCAGTAAATTCGTGTTATTCTTCCCTTTACGTCAGCCTACGGCAAAAATGGTGACACAGATCCTGGAGGAGCGAGTACTTCTGGTTTATGGCACTCCCCGGAAAATTATCGTGGACAACGGCGTACAATTCCGAAGTCACTTATTTCGAAACCTCATGGACGAATATAATATCAAAACCGGATACATTGCAAACTACCATGCGCAAGCAAACCCCGTTGAACGCACCCATCGTGTTTTGAAAACGATGTTGACGGCATATGTATCAGACAACCATCGCGCCTGGGATCAGTTTTTAGCAAAGATAGCATGTGCCATGAGGTCGGCGAAACACGAAACTACCCAATTGACGCCTAATTTTGTTGTATTTGGTCGCGAGATTAGGCTATCGGGACAGGCTCAACACCCGCTTACCGATACTCTCGGATCCGGAGAATTCAATGCAGAGGTTCGATCGGAGGCATTGCGAAAAGTCTTCGAGGATGTATCAAAGAGACTGGTACAGGCCCATGAGCGCAGTAAGCAGCGCTATAATTTGAGGAGGAGGGATGAAAAGTTTCAACTAAACCAAAAGGTTTGGCGTAAGAATTATAGCTTGTCGGATGCAACTCGCGGTATAACCTCCAAGTTAGCTTTGAAATTCAAGGGACCCTTTATAGTTTCTAAAATCCTGTCTCCGTGGTCATATGAGTTATCGGATGAGTATGGAAAAGCATGCGGAGTATGGCATGCGAAGGATATTAAAGCACATCCACCAGACGAAGACGAGCGTCAGGACGATTACGATGCGGAGAATTAACGATCCAGTCAATGTTTGTCGATAGAAGTTAGAAGGTAGTAGCTATTTCTTGTAGCAAAAGTTTTTTTTTTTTGGGAAACAAAAACTTTTTATGGGGTAAGAGGGGTGTTGTTACGGTTTCACTTCGATTTAATGTAAGTATGTGCACAGACTAGAAGCAGAGTTATCTAAAATCCTTTATTCAATCGTTATACAGATCACTTATAGGTATCATGCTTGATATTCCATCTTCATTCGAGTACTGCTTAGATCCAGCAGACCTGGAAAATAATGAGAAACCATTAATAAAAGGAATCATTTCCCCATTGTTACTTACCCATGCCATCAACTTCGATATCCTCGGTCCGATCTCTACTGATGTGGGCTTCCTCTGGTCCAAATCTGTGAAATACATATATATTGGTGAATTATCAACAACATTTGCAATATAATGATCTTACCTTGTAGAAAAATCAAGTAGTAGAAAAATAATAACATTGATCCATCATTAACCTTACTATATTAGTTGAAGGTTATCACTAGTCTGGACTCTGGGTCTTGTCATCTTCTTCTTCTGCTCCATCTGGAATACCTAGTTAGTCCTCAACCTGAAAATAAGATAACTGCTAACTCAACCTAATAACCTAAAACGGTATAACCTGACAAGTGGTTCATTTTGGCGGGATTCTGGGAAAGTCCCGCCAAGATAGTGATATTTGACAGGGCTTTTTCTGATAACCTATGAAGGTATTGAAACGTGCCATCGCATTATTGCGGATTTAAATTGTATAATCAAAACTTACTAGGAAATATAAGTAGTCAAAGGACGGTCCACTGCCTACTACCTGCCAAGGGATAAAATTCCTAGTCAGAATTTGATTATCAGATATCATTTTCACAACTCGCTGTAGTTGATACATCTGGCCACCTGCGAACAAGGTATGGGTTGAATCAAGCATTTCTGCAGCTTATTTGATAAATTTCTACATAGTAGCATTATTACTTGCAGGGCCAACAAAAACGATTTCTAGTAATCAATAAGTGTACTTACTGCTATAACCACAGAGGCTTATATTATTGCCTGCTTTGCTTTCGCTTTCTGCATGGTACCCTGGGTACACCAGCCTGCATATACCTCCTGCCTAGCATGTCAATTGTAGTTTTAATACAGAGGGTAGCCAACAAGGATTCGACCTGTGGATCAGAAGCTGACTTGAGCAGGCCAGACTGCTTATATCTAGCACTTACCTGTCTTACTTGCTGTGGGACACTCCTGCTCCAAGCTGCCACTGTCACCTCTAAAAATCCTTCAAAGTGAGCTGTATCTAGTCCTTCTTTTAGTTGCACTAATTCAGGATATAATGCATTGACCTCACCCAGTATTAGCATAGTTTAAGTATAGTATATCTAGTGATCAACCTGTACACTTTTGGTATCGATACCAGAGGGAAAGCTGGGTAAGTTTCCACTGCAACTTGCAATCTGGATTGTTTTATTATGGTTTCATCTGTAATAGTCATCACTTGCTGCTCATAAATCACCACTTAAAGTTCTCAGAATTAACCACCACTTACCACCATATGAAGTGAACCAACCTCAACCAACAATAAAGGAATATTGTACTTTTACACCCACCCCCTGAGTTTTATTATTCACATAAGTAAATACCCATTGTTTTTAGTGCCCCCTTTTCAGGGACTAAGCAAACAACGTTATAATATAACCTGAGTTACAGACATTTAGATGAAATATAATTCGACATTCCCCCACATAATTGTTTCTCGAGATGGGACAGGAAGCGAGAAACAAAAAAATAGTAACTTTTTAATACGAAATGCGGAGAAAATTTCAATTGTCTCTTAACTAATAACCGTTACGCCACCTAGCGGTTATTTTAGGATGCTAAAAAAGTTTACCAGCCATTTCTCAGGGCGACTTTCCTTGAGATATTCAATTTTTCGCAGTTGTATCATTATTGGTTGCTGAGATATGGCCGACGGCCGATCTTAGTTGTTCACCATGTAGAAGCTATCCTGAGCGAATGAATGTATTTTAATGTTGAAAAAATGTCTATCTACGATGCCACGAATCAAAATCTGAAAGTATGCTTTTTCGCAGCCTTGTCTTTGGTGGTACAGTCGTCTTCAGCGAACATGTCGCGGTTGGACGTTATGAGCGTTCTTATCGCAGCAGTGATCAAGGGAGCTGACTCCGTACATGTTGCATACAGTCGTAGCATGCACATACTCTGTGGTAATATTTTAATCATGCATGTACTTCCATTGGGATTGCAGAATTTCATTCGAAGCAACATAAATCATCAGTAGTTTTTCAACTCACAGCAATGAATCGCAGTTTGTATTTCATCTCCTTCATTCGGAACTGAATGTTTCGTACAGTTGGGCTTCAAAAAAGTTTCCTCATCGTTTGCAATTATTTTCACCTCATAATGATTCACTTCTGCCATATCCTGGTCAGTGAATATCAAATTCGGGTCATCCAAAATGTGATTCTGAAACCAATAGAAAATGAAAATACGAATCATTGAATGCAATTAGCGATAAAAGAATATATAATTTTATTGGTACAATTATTTGATACCTACTATATTTTTCAAGATATTTTAAAATTGGAATATTATTTCTCCTTATATCTCCGCCACTGTTCATTTCCAGAAAAAACTACTTTTTTCTTCAAAATTCAATATAGATTATTTTTGTAGGAAACAATTTTGGCGCTAAACCTCATAGTTTTCAATATACAGTGTGACCCACTTCTAATGGAAACACCCCTCTGTATCTTACGTAATCGTTGGGTAAGGATCCTGAAATTTGCTGAAGTGAGAGATATACCAGGAATGCACTCTGTAACCCAGTGAGGTCATCTTCACTGATATACACTGCTCGCCAACAGTCATGGAACCACCCCAATTTCCGGAAAATGATATTGGGAATCGGAATAGGTTGAAAATCACTTCGGATTCGGAATCAGGATGCCCAATTCACTATTCATAGTTCTCCTTGGAAATTTCCAGTTCATAAAAATTAAATTTGGTCTCACTTCCCATGGAAGCACCCCGTATCTCACGTAATTGTGTGTGTTGATGGAATAGGGTTTTTTTATACACTTCTACATATCCGCTATAGTTATAAAGGACCTCATGGGAGGGTGGGTCTCGATTTTTTGAAGACAACTTTTTTCCTTGTTGTCTTTCTAGTAAAAAGACAGAAGCATCTGATAGGAAGAAGGAAATCATTCGAAAATGGGACTGCTATCGAGATACAAAAAAAGAATTTAACCGTGTTGAAAAGGAATACTCTCAGATGAATTATGAACATACAAAAAAGGATATATATTTATATAAAGCAATACATTGAGAATTCGCATTCTCTACGTGATGAGAATATTTACTGTTTCTCAGTTGATTCAATAGAAAACAACTACTTTCCTGGCTATATGCCACGACGAACATTTTCACCTCTTATTTTTTTTTTTTGAAGGAGATAGGTCAAATATCAAGTGCGTCATTTTTTTGGAACTGAGTGTATTATCAACATGTATTCATTTAGGAAATCTCAATTTGTTGGCTCTTACCGTTCAGAAATCATGCGGCAAAAATAATTCGAATTCGATCAACCTTGGAAGGATATATTATCTTGATACATATTTTGGGCCAATAGTTCATTTATCAAATATACTCATTTTTCGATGTTCTTTCGCCTCCTGAAAGCTCGGAACACATTGTTGACTCACTCTGTATATAAAAAAACTACCATTCAACTTTCACACGCTGTGTACAAGTGTGATCATGAGTTTGAATCAATTCCAGAGCTGTTCCACGTATTTCTGAATCCTAACTATTTATCGTCAAACGTGTCGAAAGCAGGAAATCCAGGAAAACCTGCTCAATTGCTGGTTCCGACTGTTCGATATGATAATACAATTCAGATATATTATCGGAGGATGTACCAGAGGTGACACAGGAGACATGTAACAGCCTGTAGTTTTTTTATTCGAATCGATAAAAATTCGAAACTCACAAGACTTATATCATCGATGATGGCGCTTTCCTTCAACCCAATGACAATTTTCTTCAACCACTTATTTGATCGGAAGTAGATCCATCTTTTTTTTTTTCAAATCGCATCCTGTATATTTCTGTATCACAATTTGATTAGGAAAATGATACTAAAAATACACTACTGTGGACTTGAACAGATGAATTAGGACGATACATCAATTATTACAACAATTTCAGTTACATACAGTATGATGCAAAGGTATGGAATAAATGCATTATTTCAGAAATAGGCGAAATTTGAAGAAATTCCAAAAACACGTGAGTTTTAATTTTTGAAACCTCATCTCATGACATTCATATGAGAGATGTTACGTCACCGGTGTTGGAGTAATGACGTTATGGACGGTTTTTTTAAATACAAACAGGGGTCATGTGACACCTCGTTTGAAAGGTCTACTGATCGTCTATCCCTCCGAACAACAAACCCAGTTTGATGATCGAAGGTCTATCCAATAGTCAAAATTTTGCAAAAGAAGATTCAAATTAAAATGGATTATCATTTGGTTAACTGAATCTTGCAGAGATCTTTTACTGAGAATTGAACATCGAAGGGTCGTCTAGTTGAAAAAATACATCGATAAAAAAGTTCTGAACTCTACTTTTCGGATTTTTTTCGGGAGTCGTCTTGTTCTGAAATGAATTTACTCCATACATTTGCATCATACTGTATATGTATTCGAATGGATGATCATATTATGGCTACATGGCAAAAATTAAAGACAAATAGTTTCTTCACAAGTAGCCAAATGAAAAATATAGTATATTCTTCAACGAGCGTATAATGATAGCTAATATTCCCCAGGATATGATTCCGAGTTTCGGAATTATCCGAGAGAATAATAGCTATTATACGCGAGTAGTACACTATACTTTCTCTACGACTATACGATAGTCAGAAATTTGATGTAATCTGATTATTATTTATGAAAATAATATACTTGATGTATGAATTTCAATGATATTATAATACAATTGACAGGAATATTTAATATTCAACGAACTCATTGATGAAAAAACACAATAATTATTAGGTCAGTAAATTATGTTTCTCGTACTTAGTGACTAAATTTTCAGTGATATTCTCACAATTCGTGAAATTTAATGTCGGTGTTGCATTTAAATCAACACTGACATTTTTATTCAAATCGCTAGTTGATGTTTTTTGTGTGAAGAAACTGTTATTTGATGATGATGAACATTGTTCGATTCATTGAAGAATTCGAATCTGCCGTTTTTGTTTCATTCAACATGGAATCTTCTAGAAATCCTTCTGCCACCGATGTGCTCTTCCAGCCACTATGTCTTTCCGATGCTGTTATACCTCCACCTGCATTGACAAGCAAAGCAATGCCCGGTGTACATCTCGGGATTTGGTAGCTTCCAAAATGTAACTATTTGTTTTCCCATTGCTGCAAACTTATTAATTCCAATTTTCTAAAGATTACATTTCCCTTTTTGGTAATTCATCAAAAAATTGGAAATCACAACATCTGCTGCTTGTATATCAATGTACTTTTTACAAAATTGATAAAATTTTCCGGTTACAGTGAACCTCCTTACAATTTTTGTTTTGGTCTCAGGAATAGTTATCATCCATGCAGATCCAAGATCTTGAATATCTTCAATATTCATAGAGTACATTTCTATGGAACGGCAAGCCTAGATATCAAAGTTAAAACTTAGAAGACTCTATAAGTCAATCTGACATTCGCGAAAGTCAAGCCGTGACGTGACGTAGATTTGCTGGTAGTCTAACCTTTTCAGTTGCAGTGGATCCTGAAAATTCTGAATCTGTGATTGGTCGAGTGCCGTTGAATAATGAGTTGGGATCCACGGTGTATTGGGATCATCTTCATTCATCAATTACTAACCTATATGTAATCAATGTAGAATTCGAGTCGTAGAGAAAATAGTTTCTTTCATAGTTCTCTCAATATCGTGAGTTATTTCCGGATGATTTTCTTAAACTCAATGAATTTATTTGCAATCTTCTGAGACCGATTAGGGTATGGGAAATATCCTGATTATATCGTCTGAGTAATGATCTTTGGATTTTTAAGCCTATCAAGCATCCAAATGGCATTGTATTCGGGCCACACCCAACTCGATGTATTTCAATGAAATGCAATTTAACAGCCAATTAATGAACGAATATTAAATTGTGATACATAGTTGCATAGAGAATTTCAAGGCAAATAAGAAATGCTACAGAAATATACAGGATGCCATTTGAAAAAAAGAAGTTGGGTCTGATCAAACAGGTAATTGAAGAAAATTGTCATTGGGTTCAAGGGAAGCGCCATCATCGATAATATATAACCCTCATGAATTTCCAGTTTTTATCTCTCCAAATAAAGAAACTACGTGCTGTTACATGTCTCCTGTGTCACTCGGTATAGTGTCCTCTATCTATTATTTTGTTAGCGAACCGAATTTTGCGGAAAAAAAAACGTATTGCTATTCAGGAAGGGTTTATTGAACTACTTTCGTCATTTGGATGAATCTGAAATAATATAAATGCGTTGAAGTTTATGTAAAAGCTTTATGTTACCATCTTTCAATTTGTTCAAATGTCAGACATGAGTTCATCAATTAGAAAACAACAATGATGCTATCTCTCCCCAATGTTCGAATGGATCATAGAAAGAGATTGGATCGTGATGGATTAGATAATTTGAAGAAAGTAGTCTCCTTTCTTCTGTATGGAGGATATTTTCCTTCCTCATAATAATACATTCGATATTAATATGTGCATCAAAGGAGAGAATAGCCCTTCACCTGTATATCATCTCAAATTCGGTTCCATATCAAGAGATATACCTATCATTATATTGAATGAGAACTAGAATGTCGTTGGAATGAATTCGGCAGACATTAACGCAACAGCAGTATTTGCTCGTTTATTTGTAGCACATTAGGATATTATAACATGTTCGATGTTCAATTATTTCTGCAGCCTGCATTTCAAACGATTTTCAACAGTAACTACACATGTCGTCCACTCGTGAGAATTCAATAGCCAGGAGCTATTTCGCTTCAAGTCAGCTGCTGATTATTTATAAGGCACAGATCCAACCTGTCCTGGAATGCTGTTACCATATTTGGAGTGCGCACCCTAACATACCCTGAAACTGTTGGATTCTATCCAAAAAAGTTGGCGATCTGGCTCTATTTTACAGATTTTCTCATGGAAGATTCTCTTCTGAAATATCAACAATTGTTCCTCCCTTGGCAGTTTCCGCGAGATTAACCCGTAGAGTTGTGGGGAGATGTTCCCCGGGGCTTATAACCTCCAGAAATTCAAGAAGAACACCAATTCCTACCTTATTTCCCTTGGTTCTCACGATGTTCTCTGAATATTACAGGATTTCCCTTTTCGTGGGAACCAGAACATTGAAAAAAATACAAATGTCGTCTACTCGTGAGATTTCAA